CTCGACTCTTAATCCTTGTCTCAATTCAGTTTCCCCCTCCCCACCCCCTACCGCGCAAAGCGCGGGAGCTTCGACGTTTCATTAAATTATTAGAGAAAGAAGACGATTCGTTGTGTCGTTATCGACTCTTAATCTTCGTCTAAATTCAGTTTCCTCCTGGGTGGGTGGGTGCAGGGAGGGGCGAGTTTTTCCCCTCCCTCCTCCGCGAAGCACGGAAACTTTGACATTTCAATAAATTATTAGAGAAAGAAGACGATTCGTTGTACCATTCCCAAAAATAATCCTCGTCTGAATTATGTTTCCCCCCATCCCGCGAGAAGCGCGAAAGCTTTTACGTTTCATTAAATCATTAGAGAAAGAAAACGATTCGTTGTACCGTTCTCGACTCTTAATCCTTGTCTCAATTCAGTTCCCCCCTCCCCACCCCCTACCGCGCAAAGCGCGGGAGCTTCGACGTTTCATTAAAATATTAGAGAAAGAAGACGATTCGTTGTGTCGTTATCGACTCTTAATCTTCGTCTAAATTCAGTTTCCTCCAAGCTTTTACGTTTCATTTAATCATTAGAGAAAGAAGACGATTCGTTGTACCGTTCTCGACTCTTAATCCTTGTCTAAATTCAATTTCCCCATCCTCCCACGCGAAGCGCGGAAGCTTTTATGTTTCATTAAATCATTAGAGAAAGAAGACGATTCGTTGTTCCGCTCTCGAAAATAATTTAGTTTCCCCCACCCGAGCAAAGCGCGGAAGCTTCGACGTTTCATTAAAATACTAGAGAAAGAAGACGATTCGTTGTACCGTTCTCGACTCTTAATCCTTGTCTAAATTCAGTTTCCCCATCCTCCCACGCGAAGCGCGGAAGCTTTTATGTTTCATTAAATCATTAGAGAAAGAAGACGATTCGTTGTTCCGCTCTCGAAAATAATTTAGTTTCCCCCACCCGAGCAAAGCGCGAAAGCTTCGACGTTTCATTAAATTATTATAGAAAGAAGACGATTCGTTGTACCGTTCTCGAAAATTATCCTCGTCTGAATTCAGTTCCCCCTCCCCTCCCCCGCGCGAAAGCTTTGACGTTTCATTAATACATTAGAGAAAGAAGACGATTCGTTGTACCGTTCTCGACTCTTAATCCTTGTCTGAATTTCAAAAATGTTCTTTGTCTATCCCCTTTTCTTCCTACGTCCTCTTCCTTTTCACTCCTCTCTTTTTTTGGCCGGCGTTTATGGGGGGATCACCCCCACCGCCCCCCTGGCTACGCGCCTGCGGTCAGATAAACATAATGTTGATACCTTGTCCGCCCCGGAAGCTCAGGGGTTTAAGGTTTTAATTTACGGTCAGATTAGCATTCAGGGATCCGCCTTAGGGCCCTAGGCGGGGTCCAGGGGGCAGAGCCTCTGAAGTTCAGGAGTTTTAGGCATTTAATTACGGTCAGATGAGCATTATTTTGATACCTAATTGTTACAGTGGCAGGTCACTAATTTGTGGTTCAGGGGGCGGAGCCCCGGAAACTCAAAGGTTTTAAGCACTCAATTACGGTCAGATGAGTATCAAGGGGCCCGCCTAAGGGCTCTTGGTTTGGTCCAGGGGGCAGAGCCCCCGGAAGCTCAGGGGTTTTAGGCGCTTAATTACGGTCAGATGAGCATTTTTGATACCTTATTATTTGTGACACTGGCAGGACACTATTTGGCGTGGGGTCCAGGGGGCAGAGCTCCCAGAAATCAGGGGTTTTAGGCATTAAATGACCGTCAGATGAACATCTAAGGGCCCGCCTTAGGGCCCTAGGTGGAATCCAGGGGGCAGAGCCCTTGGGGTTTTAGGCATTTAATCATGGTCAGATGAGTATATTTTGATACCCCATTATAATGTGAAACTGGCAGTTAACTATTTTTTCTTTCTCGCTCTCTTTCTTTCAATTTCTCTTTAATATACTTTTTCAAAGAAAGTGTAGGAGGTGGGGCTCGAGGATCCCGATCCCCGCCGTTCCGCGGGCCCTGATATGTAGGCATGTGAAGAAGCATTTTCTTGCCTGGCTGTAAATTTAGGAATTTGTCATTTTCCAACAAACGCATAAAGTGAGGAAAAATCTCGGAAAATTATCTCATTTCAGCATTATTTGTAAACCACCGTTATGGAATTAGAAATAAACCACGTTTGAATTCTATTTCTCCAACCCCCCCCCCCCTTCCCTATCAGTACGCCAGTGCCCCCCCCCCCCCCCCCCCCCCCCCTCCGATCTACCATGCTGGCGGGAAAATTGCAACTGCTATCCCTTACCTTTTCTTATTCTCTTTTTTTTTCTTTCCCTTTCTCTCCTCTTTTCCTTTCCCTTCCCTTCCCTTCCTTTTCTCTTTTAGGTTTGCTGGGGGGGGGGGGGGGGGAGGGGCAAGGTCATTTTGGTCCCCACCCGCTCTACACATTGTTGGCGGGATTAACCGCAACTGATCTCCGCTTCTTTTCTCCCTTTTCTTTTTTTCTTCCTCTTTTTTGTTCCCTTTTAGCACTCCTCTTTTCCTTTTCCTTCCTCCTCTCTTTTTTTTTGAGCGGGGACGGGGGGGGGGGAGGCTAGGGCCTTTTGCCCCCCCCCCCCTCCGATCCACAACTTGCGGGAAAATTGCAACTGATATCCCCTTCTTTTCTTTTCTTCTTCCTCTTTTGTCCTTCCCTTTATCTCTTCTTTTTCTTTTTTCTTTCCCTTTCCTTCCTTCTCTTTTATTGTTTGATTGGGGGGGGGGAGGGGGAGGCAACAGCCTGGGAGGCAAGTCCTTTTACCCCCCCCCCCCCCGATCTCCTTCTTCCCTCTTTTCTTTTCTTCTTCCTCTTCTTTTTTCCCCTTTCTCTCCTCTTTCCCTTTCCCTTCTTTTCCTTCCCTCTCTCTCCTTTTTTTTTTTGCGGGGGGGGGGGGGGCCAAGGCCCGCTCGGCCCTCCCCCTGGATCCGCGCCTGTGGCGAATATCTAGTAGTAAAGACGGATGCATAACAAAAGAAGAAGGTCGTCTTATCTAATGATTAATCTTTTTTTCAGCGCGATCGTACACTTGCCTGTTTCTTCAACAGCAGAGAGAGAGGGAGGGGCGGAGATGGAGAGAGAGAGGGGGGATGGGGGGATGGGGAGAGGGAGAGAGAAAGAGAGATAGAGGGAGGATGAAGTTTACTCATGATTTTTTTTGTCTCTTTTCACACAATCATGAAATCATAGGAGTTAAATACTATATGGAGAAGACAAAGATAAATATGGCAAAAGCTTGAAAAACGTTGTATCCTTGCTAAAAAAGATATATATATATATAATTTCAGACATTTCCAATATCAGAATTAATCATCTGAAACTAGAGATGCACTTTTAATCACTTTACACTCTACCAGTTTATGGATGTATTTCACTTGGGCAGATAAATGGCACCCTTCTTCAGCAATGGGCAGAATTTCTCTTTTGAAAGCTGGTACTTGGCCATATAAAAGAAAGTGGGAGTCGCCAGGGAGTTAAAAACGTTTGCGTACGAGAGCTGGGCGTGTAAGTCGACGGATAAATAAGAAAGGCAAACAGAGAAATAATAACAAGGTAGATTGACTTTGCCTGGAACTAAGGTACCTTGGTTGGTTACTGCGTCGACGCTAAAGAATCTGGGACCAGTTGTCAAGAACAAATGCCTAACTTATGATGAATATGCTCTCATCCAATCAAATGCCATGATTTCTGTAGCTCATAAAATGTATTGTAACTTTTTAATGATAAAATTTTAAAAAATGAAACAGGGCCCTGATTTCATGAAAGCCAAGGGCGTTAACATACTTTAAGCAACTACATTTTTACGCAAAGTTAACACCCTTCTGGCTTTAAAGGTCGGTGAAATCCAAATATAAGTTGATTCCTGTTCCAGAACTCATTCATTTTGTGACATCATCTGTCAATCAATAAAGAGACAGTGGTATGTAACTTCCACCAAGGTCAGTACATGCTCACAAAAAGAATTGCATTATTTTCATACAATTCCTTCACCGTTACCTTTCTTTTCCAGGTGATGCTTCAGGACGTCTGAAATAACAACTCATATGTTGGTATTGTATGGCATATTGTAAACAGGTGGTCAGCTCTGGTGAAGCTACATACCACCGTCTCTTGTTAGCTCACTAAATAAATGATTGACAGATGATGTCACAAGATGAATGTGATCTGGATAATTTGTTTAGGTTGGAGTTTAATAGCAGGTCTGAGATAAAAAAAAAATATTCAAAAATCTATGACATATATAACACGAGTTGAATGTAGCCCTGCACATCATTAACTCAACCTGTATTTGGATGTCACACCCCGCCTTAAGCAAACGTATCGTCATAATCAATACGCCCGATACCTTCTATACATTGTACGACTTTACCCCAGAAGTATATTATACCTGTATAAGGTTGCTCAGGGCCGAAGCAGTGAAAGTCAGATAATCAGCACATTTGATTTCTCACTACACGAACAAGATTATGATTTCATATACAAAATGAAGACCACTAAAGCATCTTATTTTTCAGACGAATGTGTCGAAATATCTATAATGTGCGACATAATTCTATATAAGAATGATATAATTTCAAACAAAGAAAAGATAAATAATCGCCTGACCAAACGTGGCACATAATTATCTGAATCAGTGCATGCACTATCCACACCGACAATATTGACTGTTTTGGTTTTTAGACCATCTGCAGCATGTCTTGAATGCATATATTGCTTAGTTCTAAGTTTACTACTGACTAGCGTGGGACTATAGTCAGGTCTAAATAACCATAGAGCGAGTGAATTATATTGTTTAAACCATTTGCACTAGTATGCACAACAACAAAATTCACCTTTGTCATAACAATATATATATAGGCCTATATTGCGCCAAAAAAAAAATCATTACCATGTTTTGCACAAATCCAGCTACAGCACATTCTCCCTGGATTTCTAATTATACCACGGTGATATTACGATATGAGTTTAGCTAGTTGCCTCTCAAACAAAAACTCACCCATTTTTATTGTTTTGCACAAAAAGACAATAAAATGTGTTGATTCACCACAAAGCAACGGCTAATATCAGACGGATATAAAGATTCCTCCGTATTCGGGTCAATGTTGTCTCTGCAGTGCTTGTCTGTGCTTTATGAATGTTTTACAAGTATCAATATGGTTCTTTCAACGACGTGACTCTCAAAGCAGTTTTAAACATCCTGGTACAGTTTGCCCACATATACCAGGAAAATGTTTAACTCTATCCCTTTCTAAAGGGATTTACAAACGGTTCTTTCTAAAAATGTACCCTCATCATTTGTGTTGTTTTTCGTTTGTGAGGTTTCAATTTCCCATTCAACTTTGGACAATTGTAATTTGAACATTTCTCCAAGGATGAAATTCAAATCAAACAAGGACCATGACTGTGCGTGAGTGAACAAGAGAAAATATGAGAAAGAGAGGGGAAACTAATTGGGAAAAAAGACTACTTTAAATAACGCTGACCAAAACCGTACAGATCATTGGATTTCTTCTGGGTAGGACTTGAGATGGCGCACTTTCAGACGGAACTTCCGCGGCGGCGTACTGGAATGAGGCAGGATGATGGTCTACATGTATTAGGAAGGTATGAATGAATCCATGTATCAAGGATATCCGAAAGGCTAAATCGGGGGCTTTTATCCGAGAAACCTTTTTTCTTCTAAAACGAATATCCAAAGGGCATTCTTGGAAAATATCCTTGGGCATGATATCATATGGAATATAGTGATTCATTATACTTTTCACTACCAGTATATGTGGCTCATACTCCCCATCCCAATCTCAGGCGTACAAGAATACGAGGTCAAGGGTGCAAGTGTCCGTTAAGGCCTGCAACGCCACAAAACTACAATGCGATCACCAAACAGGTTTGAGGAAAATCAGACAAATGAGAAGGAAATAAGAAGAGTATAACAGATCCGCTATATAAAATCGGTATCCAATTGACTTTGTGATGTCATTCCCACCCAATCTGCCAATCATTTTCATTTGTTTATTGTAATGAAATCAATTTCCCAGTTTTCATCTAGAATCTGATGTTCTCACGCCTTTATCAAAACCATATTGATAGATGGTCGTCTCTGCATGTTGTATGCAATACATTTACATACTCTCTTATATCAATATCGAATGAGTATTTATTTTAGAAACGTGAAAACAGGTCATCTGTATACCCTATAATGGGAGAAAATAGGTATTTATAAATACACAATCTTCTTTCAGTGTTTACAAGCTCATCTAACAGAATCCCAGGCCATCAAATGCCCACCGGGAATGGTGGTTCAGTGGTTAGAGCGCCCGCCTCGTGAATGGGATGTCGTGGGTTCGAACCCCGGCTGAGTCATACCAAAGACGTATAACAATGGGACCTTCTGCCTTCTAGCTAGGCGCTCAGCATATAAGATTGGAGAAAGGTAGTGATAACATTATTATGTTATGCAGGGCCCGCTGGAAGAGCAGTTTCATACCTGAAGAGGCTACCCTGGGTAAACAAAACGTTATTATTATTATTATTAAACAATAATAGGGTGGAGACTGCTAAACTAGCATGGGTCAGCAGAATTGTGAGTAACGACAATGTCATTTAGAGTTTGATGTCAGAAAAAAGAAGTGTATGTTTGGGTGCGTCTAGTACATTCCCATTTATGTCCCAGTCTCTAATGTTACACTAAGAACGTAGTTTCGCTCTTAGGGAGACACCGGTGCTTGTTTTTCACTGAATGTAGAAATTCACCGTAGTGGTTGAGCGCCCTCTGTGACTTTTTTTTTACATTGGTTTTCCAAGAACCTTTTGTAAGATCCAGCATTGTACAATGATATTCATATGGGGAAGTAGTCAATGCCTTATGCCAAAAGGGCCTTAACCCGATTTTGGGGGTTATTAAGTTATTAACATCACCTTGTAGCTTTCAACATTCTCTTTAAAATGATGTGCTTCACTTGTTGAAATTCGATTTATTTATGAAGATAATTATGAATTTCAAAAGGGCCTTAACTCGTTTCTCATCTTTTTCCTTACGCCAAAAGGGCCTTAACCTACACGGCAAATCTGTTATCAATGACAGATTATTTCGTAATTTCCATTTAATTCAATGAATATCAGTAGAAACACAATTAAAAACATGATTAGTCTACAATAGACACAATGTACTTAAAATAATAACTGAAAGTATATGTCATGAATTTAGATCATGAAATCTGAGTGAGATTTAAATTAGGTGTGGATGCATGAAATGCGACCAACTCGTTGAAATACGCAGATGTCAACGTATGGGACTATGATAAAAATAAACAACGAAAAAGGTGTCCTAAATGTACGATCTCTAAATAATAACTTTACCGAAAGCTGCATTATATTAATAAAAATATTCAGATATCAAAAATACTTTTAATTAATCAATTTTATCAGTTTTCGTGATCCAGTAGCCGTAGGAGGGGCTTTCTGGCAAATCAAAGGTGTTACAAAACAAGAAAATTTCTTTATGCCAGAATTAGGCGCTAACTATGCGCGCGTATTTTTGGCATAACGCCGCGTAGGTTACGCCCCTTTTTGGCAACAATGCCGAGTAGGTTACGGTCCTTCTGGCATAAATACGCTACATTCAAGCCTTAGCCTATGCCAAAAAGGCCCTAACATGTTTTTTGCACATAGCATGTACAATTCTGAATATTTTATAACACATTTAACACATTTCATGTAAAACATAATAACTTAACACATTTATCGAAATTGGCTTCAAACACAAAAAACGACCACAAACTTCTGATTATTAGAGAGGCCAAAATTTTAAACGCGATTATCTCGGAATGGCCAAAAGCAGTTAAGGCCCTTTTGGCATAAGGCCGACGTTTGTCAAATAAATTTTTATCCTTGCTTTTCATGTACTTTTCCCTTTCTTCTCTAACATATTTTTGTTTAAAACTGTGTTTTCTCTTGTTCATGGCAAGCAAAAAATTTGGCTGGGTGATGTGAGCTACATGTAACTCTTGTGACGATCTCATTTTCATCACTGCATGGTTGCCATATCTCAAAATGCATGTGACGCAAAACCCTGCATCCAATACAACATGCCCTAGCCCCTAGGCTATGTAGCGAATAAAGACCAATGCTATGCTGGTGAACTTCAAGCTCAACTTTGTAAGCACCAATTTGCCAAGTCATATCAATACCTCCAGGCAATTTCTGCAATTGTCATCCTATGGAAAGCTTAAGTGATATTTAAACGCGGAACATCGGGCTATTGTGAAAAAATGAATTGTATTAAATCTGCATTGCTTCTTGATGAAAGAAAGCTTTGCACACGTTCATCGTGTGTGGTTCTTTGTATGAAGTATCATACAAAATGATACAGTTAGAGAGCCTGTTATATTACATCATGCACATTTAGTATAGAAAGACCTATCGGTAAAAAGAATTCTTCTGAGATAACAAAAAACAAAAAACAACAACAACAAACATAACTTTGGACTAATGGGGCATTTTGGGCCTCAGTATATAGTCCGAAACCCTAAAAACTCAAACCCGAGCTGTTTCCTTTTCTTTCAATTTGTAATTGAGACCAACATTGACCATACTCATGACATTTTGGTCACTTACATTACTAAAAGGCTTCTCCCGATTCATAACAATGCGTTCACGGTGTTGTGTAGATATATTACTTCTGTTTGTATTGACAAATTTCGACTTCTCGTCTTAATGAGGTATACGGTTGTACAACTTCAACTGGATGTATAAGAAATATAACACAAATAACAAAATGATCCGCCTTCTACCAATAAACCAGTTTACTAACATATTCAGATTTATGGATGTTTCTTGCCTGGGGACCTAGTCTCGAGGTTCCATTAACCTATTACTCATCATAAACTACATTATTTGGAACCCAGTCTGTATATTTTACTTGTTGATATGTCGGGAAAGCATCGGAAAGCTTTTGGGTTGTCAAGAACAAGCTTTCTTTAAACGGTATACATACAAGTTAGTAAACCGGTCTATTCGACACGGTGACCGAACAAAAGAAAAACACAACTATAGACTCGACCTAAATTTAAACGAGGTTTTAAACCATGTGTGGTGTATACAAACTTGATTTAGTAGATTACGGGCCATGGTATTTTATTCCACACAATACGAAGTTGATGAAAACATTGGAATGGTGGGCTTAAAGGGATCCGGTAACTTTGTCTCAGATCCTTTAAACAAATCCTTGATTTAGCTCATGCTGCAATCATAATTATAAACCTTTAGGTCATTCATGAATCCCATGACATTTACAAGCCGATCGCCTGTCTAATTTTTAAGATATTTATGATTGGACATCGAAATTAAATTTTGCGTTTTCCTATCGGTTTTCATAATACTACAGTCTATTGGAGAAAATGAGTGTGGTAAAACCGATCACTCAAAGATTTTTACTTTTTTTAGGAACTTCATGATCATTTTGAAGCGCAATTTTTTGTTAGGGCTTTAATATTACACCATATTACAGACACTCTGATAGCACGAAGGGCCATGCATCTCAGATTCAACATGCCTTTAATGAGACCAGTTTCTCCGAAAAGGGCCGTCAATACAATTTACAGACCTTCCAGACCATGCATTGTCATTACGTGAAAGAACGCTCCCAGTTCACGAATGAAGATAATTAGCGTTCTTTTGATAAGGGTATTAACACACTCTTGCCATCTTCAAATCAGCGACAAAATGAAAGGGACCACTGTATGGCGTCTCTTGAGAAAGCCAAAAAGAAAATCCATGTATGGCTAGCCAGAAAATAATTGGGTGGTACTCATTTCATGTAACAGTTTTGTCACATGACAAATGAAAAAATAGGAACATTAAGATATCTAAATTATATAACAATGAGTGATTATTTTTTTCTTCTCTCGACACTGCTTAACAAAATAATGTCGGTATTATTTGTGGCATTGTTATTATTTCGTGTATAAACCATAGCTATTTTAAACTGACAATTGTTTGAATATAACACCAGAGTTGGGTTGTCAATATCAGTGAGGGGACAGGGGGGTCCTGCTACAGCACACTCATTCATTTTCGTTAATTGTTTCTTTTTCGTAACTTACTCAAAGTTACTCATAGCCGTAAAGATCTGACTAACTGTGGGATATAATTTACACTAGTTATTCTAAAAATATATTCATGTTACGGGCCAATTCTATCATGAAAAGGAATTACTGAAATATTTCGAGAATTCAGCGAGTATGTCCACGGCTAGTATAACATCTCACGAGGCATGCTTGTACAGTGTAGGGCTTAGGCCTTACGATTATAAGACTATCCCATAGCCTCTATTCGCGGTGTCTTATTCGACCATGATTACCAGTCATAACATCACCAAAGACATGACAGAGGGCAAAAAATCGAGACGGGGTTCGGCTCGACAAGTTAGAAAATAATACTGTCTCGAGTGGGCTAAGATCCTTCTTTCTCCCGACTATAAGGGTTTAAGTGTCCGCGGGTGTCAATCCTATCAAAGGACAATAAAGGGGTCTTCCTTATCAACATGCCAATGACCGGGAGACGTCATAACCTAGCGTCTACCAACACCCTCTTACCCCACCCCTCCCATCCCGTGGTGCCTTCTGCTATAATAATTTGTTGTCATTCATTACGGCAGATAAGACAGAGAACTCGTGAAGGGTCTCAAAATGTTCAAAATAATACCGTCTGTAGAATGGGCGATGTTCTTTCTTCGTCCCGCTTCCATGCACTGTCTTGGAGTTCGGGAGTCTGCGGGTGTTAAGGGTACTAATTGGGTCCTCATCATCATCTTAAAACATGTCAATGACCGGGCGACGTCATTTCGGGCGTCATTTCCTTCAGAGTTTAACGAACGAGGGGATATACGCTACCAACCGCATGATATTAAGATTCCGGACCAGCTTTCGGGCGCACCAGGGAGCCTCGATCGCTTTGGGTTGACTTAGCGTCAAGCTTTAACCCCCATTGTATCCTCCTTTGTTGTAGATGATGCTGATGCTCGGCTAATTCTCTTGTTAGTGAACACTATTGATGACCTAATCAACGAACTTGGAATTTGATGGGATTATTAGAATGACTTTCACTTGTACAGTCTGGTTTCAAGCTATGTCTTATTTGTCGTGTCAAGTATATATATATTCATATCCAGATTCGGGACATCCTGGTAGACCGATAGAGCACGAGGCCTCGGCACATCCTGGTAGACCGATAGAGCACGAGGCCTCGGGACATCCTGGTAGACCGATAGAGCACGAGGCCTCGGGACATCCTGGTAGTCCGATAGAGCACGAGGCCTCGGGATATCCTGGTAGTCCGATAGAGCACGAGGCCTCGGTACATCCTGGTAGACCGATAGAGCACGAGGCCTCGGGACATTCTGGTAGACCGATAGAGCACGAGGCCTCGGGACATCCTGGTAGTCCGATAGAGCACGAGGCCTTGGGACATCCTGGTAGTCCGATAGAGCACGACGCCTCAGGACATCCTGGTAGACCGATAGAGCACGAGGCCGACAATGTCAGTTTCGTGAACCCTCTGTTAAGTTTTCAGAAGAGCTCTAACCATCAATATCATCATCGTTCATTATCAAAACAAAATAATGAGTAAAAAGTCGTGGTGTTGATGTGCTCTTACATGCAATCAGGGGCGTCGACAAAGGGGGGGGGGTGTGGGGGTGCGACACCCCTTCATCTGTCAGGATATTGTCGGTAAAATTGCGCTGTCGTCGGGAAAAGAGAGAAAAGGGGGAGGGGAAAAAGAGAGGGAAAGGGAGAAAAAAGAAAAAAAGAAAAGGAAAAGAAAAGAAAGAAAGGAAAAGAAAGGAAAAGAAAGGAAAAAAAGGAAAGAAAAGAGAAGAAAGAAAAAAAAGAAAAAGAGAGAGGAGAGGAAAGGAAGGAAAAGAAAGAAAAGAAAGAAAAGGAAAAAAAGAAGGAAAAAGAGAAAAGGGAAACAAAAGAAACGGGGGATGAAAGCAAGGAGTAGGTAAGAGCCTGAGAGAGAAGGAGTGGGAGTAAAAGAGAGAGGGGGTTGTTGGGTGGAGTCGTCTCGTCGAGGGAGCAAGAAAGACACGGGTAAATATGTTGCTGTGTCGGGTCAGCTGTGTCGGTTTTCTTGGTCGATATATCAATGCAGAAGTTTGAAGTCGGTGAGATGTATATTGTCGGTCGGCCGACAAGTTTTTTTCCCTACGAACTGTGACTTTTTATCCGCTGTGACGACTTCGAGAGTGACTACAACTACAAAACTTTTATTTTCTCGAAGTTTCACATTCCTATAATATCAGCTAAAGAAATCAGAGGTTTAAAATGTTCGAGGAAACTAAATTCAAACAAGGATAAAGAGTCAATAACGGTACGACGAATCGTCGTCCTTTCTCTATATTTTGATGAAACGCCAAAAATTTCACGCTTTGCGCGGGAGGGGAAAACTTCATTTACCCGGGTCGAGAACGGTACAACGAATCGTCTTCTTTCTCTGATAATTTAAGGAAATGTCAAAGCTTCCGCGCTTCGCGCGAGAGGGGGAAACTGAATTCAGACAAATAGGGCTTATTAAGAGTCGCAAACGGTACAACAAATCGTCTTCTTTCTCTATATTTTGATGAAACGCAAAAAATTCCGCGCTCTGCGCGGGAGGGGGAAACTTTATTTTAGACGAGTCGAGAACGGTACAACGAATCATCTTCTTTCTGTAATATTTCAATCAAACGTCTAAGCTTTTCGCGCTTCTCGCAGGAGGGGACAACCGAATTCAGACAAGGATTAAGGGTCGTAAACGGTACAACGAATCGTCTACTTTCTCTTATAATTTAAGGAAACATCAAAGCTTTCGCGCTAAAGGGGGAAACTGAATTCAGACAATTAGGGCTTATTAAGAGTCGAAAACGGTACAACGAATCGTCTTCTTTCTCTAATAATTTAATGAAACGTCATAGCTTCGGGTTGGGGAGAACTGAATTCAGATAAGGATTAAGAGTAAAGAACAGTACACCGAATCGTCTGCTTTTTCTCATAATTTAATGAAACGTCAAAGCTTTCGCGCTTCGCGCGGAGGGGGGGGGGGGGGGGGGTAGCTTCATTCAGACAAGAATTAACAGTCGAGACCGGTACAATAAATCATCTTCTTTTCCTATTATTTTAAGGAAACGTCTAAGCTTCCGCGCTTCGCGCGCTCTTTAAGTGATTCGCTTGCTCACTACCGCCCCTCCCTAAAATAAGATCATGGCTCCGCACCTGCATTGAAATATATAGCTATGATGCTGACTAAGTTGACGAAATAATTCGTATATTTTTTGTCGTCGAGGAAATTGACCATTTGCGCATACGCAAGTACTATAGAAAGTCCATAGAAAAAACAATTTAGCCTTCGGGCCCGGGTTTATAGGGTTAAATTTGTAGATATTGGGACATTTAATTTTGTCGGTAATTGGTGGCTAGTTTTGTCGGAAATCGTTATCCTCTATACTCCCCCCCCCCCACTGAAATAGGTCTAGCGACGCCCCTGCATGCAATATGCTTCAAATGAAATATCAAAAAAAAGATAGCTCTATATTCACAAGAATAACATCGAGCCTGACGTTACATATTAAACATAAATATGTAATATGCAGAAAGAAAAGGGATAACGATTTGCAGTTTGTATTAATCTTGGCCTGTCACTCCATAATAATGCAGTCAATAATACCATGCAGTAAAAGATACAGGCTCTAAGCATTTTATAATTGAAAAAAAGACATAAAACAGGCTATAAAAAATCTGTCAACACTTAAATGTCTGGAACGGAATGTACATGTAGAGTCATTTTATTGCTTTGTGAGATTTCCATTCACCTAAAATGTAATTAAATTGTAATAATACAGTTGGGAGAATTAAGGAATCGATCAGATCAGTTTTTCCCAATTTGTACCATGAATAATGGTCCGTTTTCACTCAAATTTTCAGATTATCTTTAAGTGTACATCTAGCATTGAAGTCACTACCTTAGCACCACTTTCTCTCATCTGAACAATGTTACCAAGTCCCTTTAAGTCAAGCTCAAACAGACGGAAGTGATAATGTTATTTCAGCTACAGTTGGGGATTAATGATTACAATAACAATGCTATGTGAAGTGTTGATATCACCATGGTAACGCGCTGTTATCTACTGAAGATGAAGGCCCATTTTTTTTTCTCTCTCTCGTGATTGAGCTGACGACGTAATAAACGAACGGGCTGAAGAGAATCCAGGATTAAAGTTCAAATTCAATGATATCATATGGTTTTTTCGGCATTTTCCTTCGAGCCTCTGGGCTTTATTCATTACTTTATTTATTGAAACGTATAATATACAATGTAAAAACAAGATCAGCAAAGCTGTTTTTATCATGGTCCTGATTAGGAACATGAAACAAATAGTGACTTCTATAAACAATAAAAATATAACAAGCAAATAATGAAATGTATAGATTAACATTGCAATGCGAAACAAAATCACACAGCATATTGCAAATATAGTGAAAATGAGAAACGAAAAAAGATACAAAGTCCTTATCCGTAATACAAATTTCGTCACAAGTTTAGGATTAGGGCTGCAATTGAGTTTCATGTTAGGTATACGGTTAGGGTATGAGGTGTAGTTTGGTCGAGGGTTGATGTGTAGTGTTTGGTCGAGGGTTGAGGTGTAGAGTTTGGACGAGGGTTGAGGTGTAGTGTTTGGTCGAGGGTTGAGGTGTAGTGCTTGGTCGAGGGTTGATGTGTAGTGTTTGGTCGAGGGTTGAGGTGTAGTGTTTGGTCGAGGGTTGAGGTGTAGAGTTTGGACGAGGGTTGATGTGTAGTGTTTCGTCGAGGGTTGAGGTGTAGAGTTTGGACGAGGGTTTAGATGTAGAGTTTGGTCGGGTTGAGGTGTAGAGTTTGGTCGAGGGATGACGTGTAGAGTTTGGTCGGGTTGAGGTGTAGTGTTTGGTCGAGGGTTGAGGTGTAGAGTTTGGACGAGGGTTGAGGTGTAGAATTTGGACGAGGGTTGAGGTGTAGTGCTTGGTCGAGGGTTAAGGTGTAGAGTTTGGACGAGGGTTGAGGTGTAGTGTTTGGTCGAGGGTTGAGGTGTAGTGCTTGGTCGAGGGTTGAGGTGTAGAGTTTGGTCGAGGGTTGAGATGTAGAGGTTGGTCGAGGGTTGAGATGTAGAGTTTGGTCGGGTTCAGGTGTAGAGTTTGGTCGGGTTGAGGTGTAGTGTTTGGTCGAGGGTTGAGGTGTAGAGTTTGGTCGAGGGTTGAGGTGTAGAGTTTGGTCGAGGGTTGATGTGTAGTGTTGGTTTGACGGTTAAGGTGTAGTGCTTGGTCGAGGGTTGAGGTGTAGTGTTTGGTCGAGGGATGAGGTGTAGAGTTTGGTCGAGGGTTGAGGTGTAGTGCTTGGTCGAGGGTTGAGGTGTAGAGTTTGGTCGAGGGTTGAGGTGTAGAGTTTGGTCGAGGTTTGAGGTGTAGTGTTTGGTCGAGGGATGAGGTTAGGAAATTCGTGTAGGAACTTCACCGCCGAACACCTGGAGCTACGTGTCGTACGATTTATTGAGTATATAAATATGCTCACTCCAATGAGCTTCGATTTCATTTTTCATTAAAGGAAGAATTGACAATATTTCTTGATGACGATCACAATGTTACAATTATCGGCAAATAAAGTTTTAGGTTTAAATTAATATACCGATTTTTGTATCTTCTCTTCATCTCCGTAAAAAAAAAAAATTGTGAGTTGGATTTATTAGCATGGGGTATGTGACGATACTGACATCTTAGTTTCATAGGATAGCATAGAATGTTTTTTAAAGACTAAAATAGATTCTCAAAGAAACTATTACTGCGGTAAAAGATTAATTTCAACTCCTTTCCCTTTAAATCCGTCAATGATATAAACACACGGTCATATGAATTTCGATATAAATTCCAGCATTCACTCAGCATAAAAGAAACCTGTTACAAACGAGAATCATTGTCCGTTAATAATTGTAACCTAACGCGTAATAAGAGCCAGTAGTAGCCAACTGTGAAATTGACCACGGTTTTTTGTTATTTTTCTATTTCAAATCGATCTTTTCAAAGCAACCACGGCTGTTGTAAGAGCTAGTTAATCTTTCCCTGAGCGAGAGGGTCAAATTTCTTTATTTTAAAGATAACACATTAAATTGACTCCTTAACTGAATCCTATTTGTTTGTTTTTCACTAAAAAAAATTGAGGATTTCATAACATAGAGCCTGCTTGATGCATAAAAAACGATTTTCTCAACATTTCATTTCACATTCGAAAATCGTGTAAATGCAAAAAAAATATTCATTTAAACAATCAAAGATATGATAAAGAAACTTCAATTATAAAAAATATGATAGAATGAAGGTAAATATCTTGAATTATAAAGGGTGTCTTCACATGTACAAGATTTATTACTGCCAAATATTGGGGCATTTTCGTTAATGTTATCAAATGCATGCATATGCCTATATAAAGCGCCTTATTACGAAGTATTTTATTCACCTGCTACGAATAAATGTATCACAGTAGTCAGAATTCAAATTGCACATTAGTTGTTGCTAGATAAGACATATTGTATGGCCTGCCCTACCTAACAACATGTAATATATGCAATGTGAATAATAATGCTCGCTATTGAAACATTACATGTATGTACAATTATTATTCGTAAGAGGTGAATAAAATTATTACCAAAATGTCCTATTGGAGCCACATAAAACAGCCCTTAACCATACCCTCCCCTAACAAAATATGCAAAGACCCTTACAGTTTGTAATACGAATATTTGTGTAAGAAGAAAACTGCGAGTACCACAAAAACAGTTTAGACAAATCTTTAGGAACAGCATTTCGTTATTCCAGTTTTGAACAATGATGCGGGATGTTGTAATGCTGGTAACAGCAGATATTGGAATTCAAGATATTCAAATTCGCGTTCGAAAAACCCTCAATGGCGGGCAGGAATTCGCGTTACAGAAGACAGCACATCTATATTTATTTGACTATTGTCGATTTTGGATTACAAGAGACTAATAAAATTCAATAAAACAGACAAAGAAAGGTTAAAAGTCTTGGCAGGGAGCAATGGATACCTTTTGTAAACAGACACGAAACAAAAGAGAAAGTTCCCAGCGGGACGGCGATCAATAGTATCGCTTTGCTCAAACAAAATAATAACCCCGCCTCAGAAAGAGGACGTTTCACTTGACCGCCTGAAATAACTCGTGAGCTTTTATTTAGTCTTTAAAACCAGGCCAAAATCGTTGGTATAATTACTATTGCACGCGCCCCCGTCCCACTTCAAAATGGCATGCATGTAATCCTGATAGTCGTCGAACCATTTCCAGGACGAAGGAGGAGCCGAACAGAATAATCCGAATAATGTCGACATCGATAGTTCATATCGTATACATGTAGACCAGTTCGTAGTTAGCTTTGGTTAAAAAATAGCCAGAGTGCAAATTGCATATATTTGTTTTAAGGTAGGACAAGTCATAATTATGTCTGTCCTACTTAGCAACGATGAAAATATGCAATGCGCATTCTACTTTTGAAATACAATTATATGTAACAGGTGAATGAAATAATTTGTAACATGGCGCTTAACGAAGATTTATGCACTAGATTTGTTTATGGTCATTACGAAAATGGTCTATTGTTGGTCTTTCTTCGGCTACATTGGCGGGGAAAATGAATTTCATATTTTCCTAAACATATTGAATTCAATAGAGACTTAATTATCGCCCTTGCTTGATAATTTAAATAACATATTATAAATTTAGCGTAACCATGATTTACAAGGGTTCAAAAAAGTTACATGTATTTTATTATCTCTTCAAATAGATCAATTACGGAAGGAAAGCCTAGAAAAGAGCCTAGTGTTAGACCCATGCGATCGTTATTTGGTAATCGCTTGATCGCGTGATATGCTAGCAGATGATAAAAGGGATGCAAATGGACATAATTGGTTGTGTTTAATCGTGAGCGATGACATGTCATCACGTATAACTGACAAGGACATCAGAGACAACAATAGAAGTCAGTTTTATGAGCAAAAAAAACAAAAACAACGCACCGAAAAAAGCAGACGCGTTAACTACACTGTAGAAAATTATATGTCATGCACCATATACTCCACATCATGAAATAAATGTAACATTATTATGTCTTTACAATATTGAGCTCTTTGTATGCTGGACAAAGAGACATGACTTGCAACAAACGATATCAATCGCATCCACCAATTATACAGATATAATATGCATTTGACATGCCCTTAAACTAAAGGGCAACACTTTATACTCACAACTCATTGTCTTTACAATGTATATATCAGGAATTAAATAATAATTGTTGTGCGTTTATTGTGACGCGACTGCAATAATGAGTCAATATTAGTGTAAGCACGAAATGACATAAATTACGATGAACATGGTTACGAGTTTTCAATACTATATTTTATCTCTAGATACACAGAAAACTTTAGTGATAGAAAAAGTATTACATGTCGCATAACCTTTATGGCCAAGGCTACCTAATTACTACATTATCTTAAAAGGAAAAGAGAAGAGTTTACAGCAGACTAAATATTATCAAATGTGTCATTTTTACCACTCCAGAAAATTTACACAAATCGATGAAGCTTAATTGGCATATGTGCAAATTAATCACGAATCTGTGCGTGTGTGTGGGGGGGGGGGGGGTCGGCATTTCTTGTATTCGAGGAAAATTATATACATGTAGAACATTTGCAGCAATGCAAATCAACGAGTGAAGCATCAAAGAAAGTCTTAATCCATCCTATATACATGTACATTCGCTTTAAAATATAAAGCAGATCTCGACAGAATCGAATGAGAAATTACTTTGAATTATAAATGTCCAAAATTAATTTTGATCTTTAGCAGACAATATCTACCCCCGCATTTTATGCCGAATGTCAACTTATATTAGGTAATGTGGAACTGACTGATTAAAATGATATTGGCTAAAATCTATTTGATCTTTAGCAGACGATATCTTCCCGCGCAATTTATGCTTTTTCGCTATCAATTATTGAACTGTTCGAAATGTCAGTAGTTTATGATCCACTTTTGCGGTGCTACCAGTGGGCAAACATCTAACACTGATGACCAAATTAATCACTCTCCAACGATGGCATAAGCCAACGTCATCCCATTAAAGGGTATGGGGAATGGTGATCAACTCTTCCAAGATTTTTCTTTGCATCAATTTTAAAGATATGATTTGTTAAGTAAGTAAGTAACTTAACGTCCGGTAAACATTTACGAGACAATGGAATTCTATATTAGATTTTACAAGAGATGTTTGCAAAGGTTGTCGACAATCTTGTCATAAACGTATCGAGAATATCATCATATCAAAATCTTGAACTTAACGACCAAATGTGTTGTAAGTTATCATATACACATGCTACATAAATAGGCTAAATTATATTGCATAGGCCTATTGCAGTGATTGTTACTAACATGATGATATTCATCAAGTCAATACTGACTCATTTAATTAAAATGTCTAATAGAATATCCAAAATAGCCCCAGAGTCATAATGAAATCAGTTATTGTATCATGTATGAAAGAGCTACTTTTTAAAAGTAAAACTACCGGAGGAATTAAAAAACAACAAGAGAAGTGGTGGGGGTTGGGGGTGGTGGGGTGGTAGACAAGGCAACAAGAGGAGTGGTGTGGGTTGGGGTGGTAGACAAGGCAACAGGAGGAGTGGTGGGAGTTGGGGTGGTAGACAAGGCAACAAAAGGAGTGGTGAGGGTTGGGTGGTAGACAAGGCAACAGGAGGAGTGGTGGGAGTTGGGGTGGTAGACAAGGCAACAAGAGGAGTGGTGGGGGTCGGGGTGGTAGGCAAGGCAACAAGAGGAGTGGTGGGGGTCGGGGTGGTAGACAAGGCAACAAGAGGAGTGGTGGGGGTCGGGGTGATAGACAAGGCAACAAGAGGAGTGGTGGGGTTGGGGTGGTAGACAAGGCAACAAGAGGAGTGGTGGTGGTTGGGGTGGTAGACAAGGCAACAAGAGGAGTGGTGGGGGTTGGGGTGATAGACAAGGCAACAAGAGGAGTGGTGGGGTTGGGGTGGTAGACAAGGCAACAAGAGGAGTGTTTGGGGGTGGGGTGGTGAACAAGGCAACAAGATGAGTGGTGGGGTTGGGGTGGTAGACAAGGCAACAAGAGGAGTAGTGGGGGTTGGGGTGGTAAACAAGGCAACAAGAGGAGTGGTGGGGGTTGGGGTGGTAGACAAGGCAACAAGAGGAGTGGTGGGTTGGGGTGGTAGACAAGGCAACAAGAGGAGTAGTGGGGGTTGGGGTGGTAAACAAGGCAACAAGAGGAGTGGTGGGGGTTGGGGTGGTAGACAAGGCAACAAGAGGAGTGGTGGGGGTTGGGGTGGTAGACAAGGCAACAAGAGGAGTGGTGTGGGTTGGGGTGGTAGACAAGGCAACAGGAGGAGTGGTGGGAGTTGGGTGGTAGACAAGGCAACAAGAGGAGTGGTGAGGGTTGGGTGGTAGACAAGGCAACAGGAGGAGTGGTGGGAGTTGGGGTGGTAGACAAGGCAACAAGAGGAGTGGTGGGGGTTGGGGTGGTAGACAAGGCAACAAGAGGAGTGGTGGGGGTCGGGGTGGTAGACAAGGCAACAAGACACTATGAACATTACGGACAAAGAGAGCGGACAAAATATACAGTTCCTCAGGTAGACAAAAGAACATCCCTTCACTGCTATTATGTAAAAAGATGAATATGCATGTGACACCTGTTCTACACATTTTTACATAATAGCAGTGAAGGGATGTTCCTTTGTCTACCTGAGGAACTGTATATTTTGTCCGCTTTCATTGTCAGTCATGTTCATAGTGAGAGGAGTGGTGGGGGTTGGGGTGATAGACAAGGCAACAAGAGGAGTGGTGGGGTTGGGGTGGTAGACAAGGCAACAAGAGGAGTGGTGGTGGTTGGGGTGGTAGACAAGGCAACAAGAGGAGTGGTGGGGGTTGGGGTGATAGACAAGGCAACAAGAGGAGTGGTGGGGGTTGGGGTGGTAGACAAGGCAACAAGAGGAGTGTTTGGGGGTGGGGTGGTGAACAAGGCAACAAGATGAGTGGCGGGGTTGGGGTGGTAGACAAGGCAACAAGAGGAGTAGTGGGGGTTGGGGTGGTAGACAAGGCAACAAGAGGAGTGGTGGGGGTTGGGGTGGTAGACAAGGTAACAAGAGGAGTGGTGGGTTGGGGTGGTAGACAAGGCAAAAAGAGGAGTGGTGGGGGTTGTCAAATATACAACCAGGATACAAATAAAAGCCTCCACGACTGACTACTACAATCATATAAAACCTGAATACACGTGTAATAATCTCGACATAAGCTTCTTTTCTGTAGGTGTTGTATAGTTGTGTATTCCTAAACCTCACACAGTGGGCCAAACATGGTATAGAATAAATAGAATAAAGCTCGCTTCTTTTAATCAGGACCTCCCATTTTAATGACGGGACATGCATCAGTGCGCCGAAAAGGAAATGCAACAATTGCAAATGATGAGGACGGTTTGGCAGAAGGACACAAGTTACAAATGCCGTGAAAAGCTTAGATTTGTAACTGCTATAGACTTTAGAAGGGATTAGGTCAGATGGTGACACTGTACGAGTATATTCTTCAAGTTAAACTATAGTATGTGAATCCAGTTCCATTTGATTGATTTGAACCCGATAAAGTTCAACGCATTTTGATACGTATAGATAAAAAGCATTAACAACACTTAATCTGCAGGGGGCTTTTTCGCCATTATGTCATATATTTATGGCCAGTGAATTGGAATTCCGCATTTACTTTGTATCCTATCCTCTTCATTAATTATATCATTATGTACAAATTTCTTTGAAAAAAAACTTATTTCAATAAGTTAGATGGGTAAAAAACAATGTATTTTGTCCCATGCATACGATACCACCATCATCAAGAATCTGTACGAAATTGATAGCCTTACAACAGATGAGGTCAGAACAATATCAAGAGAAATAATATCTTCAGTGTTTATTATGTTCTTGATTCCATTATACTCGGAATGAATTGAATGAATACATTCAGACATCTTCATGTCATTTGTCATGAAAACAATCTTAATTCGCTGCTCTAACATTATCATCCGTTAGAATTTTAATGTTTGTCGATTTTTAGTCGTTAATACCGTTCGGTTGTTGTTGTTGTTGATGGAGTATAGTTTTATGGCGTTCATTCAGTACTGAATATATACGCCACATCTTCAGTTATATAAGAAAATTCAGTTATCAGTAAAGAAAAATGAAAATAACAAATTGTAATAACATAATTAATTAACCAGTATCGCAATTAATTAGGAGTCTCTTGATGGTTTACAATTTCGTAGTTATGTTTTATCCGTTTAATCGGGTCAGCTCGGTTTCGATTGCATTGACATTACCGATCAGTTGTTGTTGTTGTTGTTGTTGTTGTTGTTGTTGTTGTTGTTGTTGTTGTGATTAATGGCGTTTCCATCGTCATTGGATGATTTTCGCCAGATCAGAGATTTGCAAATATTCTTTTGAAACAACTAATTTCAGAAAAATTCCAATTAAGATTATTTGTTCACCCTAAACAATCGAAATTAAATCAATCTTTTTTTCGGCGCTCGAAAGTTCATGAAGATTCTCTGCTCAAGGAGGATGGTTTTTAGAGATCGATACCAAGCGTGAACTCCGCTTATCACACAAGGTCAACAGCAGGTTAATTTGATTTGGAACGAACCATCAGATACAAACGAAGAGAATCTGTCGAACCCCAAGCGAGCGTTGTTATGGGAAGCGAGCATGAATTATCATATGAAGATGTCCAATGTTTATTTTAAACACGTATATCCGGGTGGGGACGTGCACATGAACAGGTGCGAATACTATGGTCCCAATTCACAAAAGAGGTTCGCGTTTCAAACCAAGGTTTGTACAAACCTTGGTTTGAAACGCGTCGAAACGCGTCATATGAGATATGACGCACATAAACCTAGGTTTGTCTATCTGCATTTAAGTACAAGTATCCTCGGCGGGTCAATATTGATGGGTAGATTTTTCTTTATTAAACATTTCGTTAAAAGGTCCGTTTATTGTACATAGGCTTATTCACAATTCTTGTATTTACAGATTAGTATCTGATTGCACTGGAACATTCAGTGTACAAAATGTTCTTCTCATTAGGCCCATAACGGATATACCGACACACGTACCAGGGTCCATGCACGTACTAAAAACATTTGTCTGCGCAAAGAACAAAAATACCACAAAAAAGCAGGATGACGCGACTAAGATAGACACGTTACCTCAGCTTTATATTTAACGTTCAGAATAGTTGGTCATACATAGTTTTCATATAGTTTTATATGATTACTTTATATGTCAATGTATTCTCGTAAGAGTTGTGAATTGTTTTAACATAGCTATGTGTTCAATGTGCTTTTATTGTGAACTGCATGTAGTTCATTCTTCGGGCCGACATTTTAAAGTAATTTTCGATAAACAATTCAATAAATCAATGATATCATAGATGGATAGAATTCTCTTATAACAGAATTTAAACGAAATATGGTTACACAAAGTATGCTTCTTCACAAATCTAGTTTTAAAAAGGCGACATCGGCTTATTTTGGAATATCCAGATAGCTTGAAATGTTTCCATTACGCACAAAAATCAACATGATCGACGAGAAGTAAGCGAAATTGTTAAAACTTGGATTTACCAGCTTTCAACATCACAAATTATGCCAGATTCATTCTCTTATGTATCTTTATTTTGTGTTTGTTTGATTGTCTTTTTGTTGGGATGCATGGCTATACATCCGCTTTGTATGATTAGTCCATACTATAATCATGATCAACTGAAATGTATATACCATCATTTTTAATAAATTTAGTACCTCCACGTGCATATCGTCTGATTGCTATCACCTATCATCAACATAAATATAGATGGCAAGCTGTAAGCAACATATCACATATCCGCATCACATGTTCAAACACTTAACATGGGCAGACTTTTTAGACAGTCGAAAACTGTGTACCATCTGTTCCGTCACATAATCGTCCTTGTTTTCACGAAGTGACGGTAGTGAGGAAAATCGTCACGCAAAGTGAATGCAATTTTTTTTCACTACCGTCACTTCGTGAAAACAGCGACGCAGTGTTGCCATGGTAATGCTGACATATCAACGACTACCAAAACAAACATAGCTTTTGCAGACATTGCAACAAATATTGGCATTGCATGGATGTTCTTGTGTATAGAACGCACATCAAGTACGATCCTATGAAATGACAAAAACCAATCGATGTTATAAACAAAAGCGTAGCCTATAGAACGACACAGATTAATCATATGCTAAAGGAAAGCGCTGCATCCAGTCAATAATTCATTGATACAGTTGAAGAAAGGAATGATGTGGTTTTGTCAAGGGTATATCCAATCGAAGTTAAAGTTCTTATCATGATGTGCCAAGGATTAGAAGCGGATCAAGGGGGCATGGGGAGGCAACCAAATTTGCATTTACTAACAAACCATTAAAATGTATGTACAAACTAGTAATATAGTAGAAAATTGGGAGCAACTTTAGCATACCCCACCATTAAAATTGGGGAGACGGTCGTAGGTTAACCAACGCTTCACCAATGAAGCTAAATCTTCATGTAACGACACTAACCTAAACCGAACCCTAAATCTAAACCCTATCCCCAACCACAACCCTAGGTGTCGGACGTTCGTGTACATAAACCCTTTTGGTGGGGTATTCTAAAGTTAAACCGAAATTTATCTCTCCTATCCTGAATCCGCTACCAAAGCTCATGTATTCGTTTAGAAAATTCTATTAAAAAAAATACATGTTTCAAGTTAGGTTTAAAACACATGTGTAGCACGATGCACCTGTTTATTCCATCATTAGCGTCAGCCATACATACAGCTATTCCTGCATGTGTCTGTGATTAATAATAATATGCACTTCTTTTTAACTATGCAATTGTGATTCATTTCTTACCTGTTGTTTCGTCTTTTCGCCTTTGTATCGGCTTAACACGTCCGAGTCTGGCGAGTGCATCATTCGCTGACTAATATCCTTCATTGTGCATCGAAGCGCCCGAAACTCCCCGGTACATTGACCACTTCTGACACCCTCAGCCAAGGCCCTGTAACCCTGATCAAAAATGTTCCTGAAAATACTCTCAGATGGTATTTCAAACTGAAATAAGCACTTGGTCCTTGTAAAATTTTGTATTTTTCTTGCTAAATATTCAACGGAACTTAATTCTTTTTCAATATTCCGTTGATCCCAAAGGACTCCTTTGGAAAGTCAACGTATTGAAACTTAAAGCTTGTGGTATTGAAGAAGACTGGTATCACCATACCATTTAAGTCGTCTGCTAAAACAGTTAACGATGACAGATGTCATTCCATTCGCCTGTACATGAGCAATGTTTTCTCGATATCTTTTCATCCGTGAGTATTCCTGGGTATTAAAACGTCCTCCACATACACTAAATAAAGATGCATATCAAAGAATCCACACAAAGTACTGATGTTCGTTCGTATTGCTCAGCCGTAGTATTGTGAATGCAAAAGTCCGTCGCCGAAAGCAAGCTGGCGTGAAAGCTCTGCACGCCAGCGATATGGAACACTGCGTTCCGCGCGCACAACTATTCATATTACACGCACACAAAACTACGGAATACGTGCTTTCTTCGGAAGAAGTAACTATTTTCCTTGTCTCTGTTTAAGAGGCTTTTGTAGCTATCGCCTTGTATTCATGATGGGTTCTTTTCTGTCAAATATCGGGTATTGTTTACCCAAAGCAGGGGCTCTTTCATTGATCTACTGTCCAATAATCTGACCAGTTTAACCTAATCGGATAGGTCGAGCTGGTGTACCTATATACCACAAACCGAAACGATGAAGAGAGGAGTCGAAAGGAAGATTGGAGTTGTAGAGATACATGTACTTAGACGCCTAATTATTGTCTTGACGTAAAACTTAGTCTTGACTGACCTTACCCGCGCAATAATTTGTTAACTTAACACCGTTTTATTGTTAGGATTTTGCTAAAAGTTCACTGAAATGGTAGCCAATATTTTATCGCTGTCTCATGTTACAAAATAGACTGTCTATTACAAGAATGTAACATGTTGGAATGTTCTTTGCAAGGTAGATTTTTTTTTTTTTTTTTTTTTATTTTTTATTTTTTTTTTTTGGGGGGGGTCTTTGAAAGAAACATCTTTGATAGGTAGAAGAAAATAATTTTTTTTCTTCTTTTTTAAAACTTTGTAA